ATTGTAGTGCCCATCTTTTTGCAAGGGCATGCCAGTTTTATTCTGGTTATATAAGAAATACGAGTGTGGGACGTTGATGTTCACTGGACAACCACTTGAAGCTATAACAACAAATGTTCGTTGCATCTAGAATGCGTATTACAACCGAGAGGCAGCGTGTCTGAAGAATATCGGCGGAGACTCCTTTTGTGGTAGATAGTCCAGTCCGGCGATTACGATGTCAAGTGTAGGCTCTGAAAAGGGCCGTTTTGTCTAGCAGTGTCTTCTTGTAGCCACCCGATGTCCTTCTCTTGCTACAGCGGCGAGTCTGGCTGGCCAGTGGTGCTGCTGTGTGTGCGCTGGTAGAGTCAGCTGCCTACGATGCGTGTGCTGTTACTGAAGAGTTACGGCAGCGGCAATTTGACGTCAGCATAGCTACGATGGCCGTTGACTGATGAAAGATTAATCCTGGTGACTCCAAGGCCCACAGCTTTATACTTATGCCACTAGGCGGTGCGCAGACCAGTTGGCAATGATTGGATAGTGCTTGTGTTGGTGTCTTTGGAACCAGGCTGCAAGTGATGTATAAATATTGCTGCAATTGAGAGCACTGATTGGATAGCGCTTGTGTTGGTGTCCAGGGGGCAAGGCTGCAAGCAATGTAAAAATATTGCCTGTTTTCAGTGCACTACGGGAATTGTCTGTTATACACTGTGGGAGGTTCCCACACAAGTATATGAAGTCCATAATTTTCCAAAACATTTTCAGGTAAATGCTATCTCATGCGATCAGTGAAACATCTAAATGGCATGCAGTTGTTTCAATAATCCAGTAGGGCACCACATAGCTCACTAGTTCCAAGATCTGAAAGTGAATTTGTTATTAAAGTCCCAATTTTGGAGGTCATAACAAAATGGTTACATCTGAAGGTATAACTGAATGTATCCTAGAGCACTCTACTGATCCATTTGTGAAATAATAAACTCTAACACATGAATGACTGACTAAAAAGGCTGTACTGAGATAATAACTTTTCTAATACTAATACTAAACAACACTGTGAACTCAAAAATTATTTAATCATGATATAAAAGACACTGTTGGAGTCAATAGTTTAGAACTGAAAGTAACGGAAGAATTTTTTAATGGTCATTTTACTGGCAGTATACATAACACCAGCACCTTTTCTTAAAGTAAATAATGTTATTGAAAATAAAGTAATAGTGTTCTTGAAAAACCATCATATATTTATAAAAGAAGGTAAAGCTATCCCTGTAACAGGCTGGTGAGGCTCCCACATTTTCTAAACAGTCAACTCACAAATGGCAGTGAGGTTGTCAGCCTCAGGTGCCAGCCGCCCTTAAACCTCCCAGGACATATAAAACAAAGAACCTCATGAGCTCCAGTTTTACTGGAGGTAACATATACTAGTTTGTCCAACTCACTTTACACTGAATGAAAGTACTTTTGTTCAGAAATGTCTGTAATCATTTCACCATCCATAATTTTCCTGGAATAATGCTTCAGTGATTCAGGATGACCAATAATTTAGGACAGTTTAGGTCATAAATACACCTACAAATTGAGCATGAAATACTGTTTGTACATAAAAGGTTAAGAATGACACACACACACATAAATAACAGTTTTGTAAGCATGAGTTTTATCACTGTTATTACACAATTTCAGCTTACACTTACAACACTGCATGAATGTAAGTTATGTAAGTCACAAATGCACAAGCAACCTTTTCTCTCAGTGTAATGGTATACTGATGTGGACATAGGAAGTGTAGCATATAACAAAATCTCTTCTTCCCATTTTCTATATCAAATGTTTCTGGAGGATAGTATATGATTCACTGTGTCAATTTTATGAAGAATACTGCGTAAAAATACATGTGAAAGAACCACATCTTTCCTTTACAGGATGTAAAGAAAGTGTATGCATTAATACTTGGAACATGGCTTACAGAATTTCATATATTTTCAACAGCACACTGCCTGTTGGCAAATGCACAATCCCTTCATTTAATTCAGAGAGAGTTGGAATTTTTAACCCCCTCCCACCCCAAGTCCAAAATTATCCTTGACAACCATCAATGCACACAGTATATAGAGAAACCTGATATATCTACAAGTGGCATAATACAAGTAGCCTGTTGCTCACAATATTCATTACAGGTATTTATTAGTGTATTCAGCACCATGAGTTTACTGTTGATTTCCATGAGATAATGCAGAAAATTAGAACTCGCTAAATAATTCAGCAATCTAGCACCACTCTTTAGGAAAATGGGGAACCTGAAATGAATACATAATTACTATGGGGCACTCTGTATAATAACACATGTAATTAAATATTCAATTTGTCATGGTTTATGTGAAACTTTACTTAATAATGACAAAGAACTCATTTGGGGGGGGGTTATGCGCAATCCTTGTGTTAGTCAATGGTTCCTATGTAGGAACATTTGAAACTACATAATTTGTGTTCATTCAGAGCCAAAGTGCAGACACAGAAAATATTACAGAAGAAAAATTATGAACTCACAGAACTAAATATCAAAGAGAATACACGCAACATGACAACAGGTAAAAACAGGCATACAATATTATGAAATCTACTGCTGTCAAGACATACATCTAGGAATGACTGTTATGAACTTCTTAAATACACGGCACATGAACTGATGAAACTGGATGAAAATAGAATTTTACTACAGCACAGAATCAGCAAAGTCATGTTTCAGTCTGATGAACCTACAGGAAACAAGGTCACTGTACACACTACATCCTGTGCTGTTATCCTGACAAAATTATGCCAGTTTGGTGGTGAGTACACCTGCTGTTCTACTGCTTCTACATTACCATCCCCAGTAATATGAAATTCTATACCTGAAGACTCTGTTCACAATACTGGTATAATTTTCATCACTGTACTGTATTTTTGCTTTACAGTAATTGCTGTATGTTCTTATATACCTTTGCAATACTAAGACAGATATAAATTGCAACAAAACAATTTAATACAAAACTTACTTGAATGTATTCTTGAAGTTCTGTAATGACATCTGTTTGCACTTCTGGTATGACAGCAGAAATCAACTGTATTAATCATCAGACTACCGTATGAGTCCCCTGTTCATGTGGATCGTAAAGTGGCAACCTTTCATGCACAGGAACTGCATTTGTGTAGGTGGTATCACATTTGCTTATCCTAGGCCCAGTGATTGTCAGTAAATATTATAAATCATAAATTGAAATTCAACAGACATTTTTTTAAATTAGTTGAATCTTCTATTCCTAATTCTGATACCAATACAAATGTACGTATATTTCTTCTTTCAAATGAGGCTCTTCAGTAATGTCACTTTTTATACCACTTCTTGCATACAAGATCAATGGTAACATACAAGTACTGGCAAGTGGTGACCTTTATCACTCATAACTGTGCACACCAGTGGTTCTCAAACTTTTTACATCTGTGGCCCCCTGGACAAGAGAAAATTCTCTCAGGCACCCAGCCTGTTTTTTTTTTTATCAAAATAAAAGTCCATGGTATGTTTGACGTTTTATTCAGTTTAATTTCTGTTTTTCTACATACTATTTAGCAGTTTTTTACTCAAAATTAAAGTATCACAATATTATGCCTACAATAAAAATTAGTTCTAACACTTGCAATTAACCAAAATATGTATTGAAATGAAAATATATTTAACTAACAAGTATTTAATTTTTCTCTGCAAAGAAAATCAAACATTTAAATGTCAAAGTTCAGTGTGATGGATGGGCCTGCTTTTGAGAACAAAGTTTATCAAAATGTGGTGTAATATCAAAATGGCCACTCTAACTTCTTTAGCAATATTTAGCCTTGAACGATACTTTGACTTTGTAGCTGCCAAAGCAGAAAAGCCTGTCTCACATAAGTAAGCTGTTGCAAAAGGAATTAGGATCTTCAATGCTTTTTGGCTCAAAGGTGGGAATTCCTTGCCAATATGTATCCAGAACTCCAACAAAGACAATTTCTTAAATTTACTTTTTAATGAAGCATCACTAGTGAGATAGATTAATTCTTCTTGCTTGTTTACCTTCAGAGACGATGGGCCAGGAGCATTTTCGAATGGATTTTTAATCCAACTAAATTTATCAAAATCATTGCAAAAGTATTTTTCGAAATGAACTTTTAACATTATGAGATGATCAAGTAGGAAGCTTTTTATGTCCATTGGAAGCACTGGATTATCAGTGTCTTGTAACATTGACACCAGAGTAGGGAACAAGTCTAGTGTGTCACTTTCCATACTGTTTCTCCAGAGCTCTTTAATTTTCTCATGAATGCCTTCACTTTGTCATTCCAAGAAAGTACAGCTGCCTCATTCCCTTGAAGTGAAGTGCTGAGGATATTTAGTTTCTCAAATATATTTGTGAGGTAAGCCATTTTCAATAAAAAATCCTTGTTGCTGAAACTGTCTGCCAGTGAGTGATTTTCCCCATTTAAAAAACAGAACACCTCATGCCTCAGATCAAACATCTCTTTAATACCTTACCTCTTGAAAGCCATCGAGCATCACTAAAAAACAACAGAGCAGTGTGTTCGACACCCATTTCCTCACACAGCATTTTAAGAAGTCTAGACTTCAGAGGATTTCAGAGGATGCGGCTGCTGCCGAATTATCAATGCTGTCTCTGGCATACGCGTTTTATAATTGCCAGTAAAGAGAATAATTATTAGTTATTTTGAAATTCATGATAATTAAAGCCTGTACTCATCAAAAAATTTTCTATATGTATTTTTATTTTTTGTTACTCTTCTAATTGATTTATGGCAGTTTTAATTTTTATCTGTAGGAAAGTATGCTGCGCCCCCCTTTCAAGTCCTTAGCGCCCCCCCTGGGGGTCGCGCCCCACAGTTTTAGAACCACTGGTGTACACTATTGACAAGTGATGATGTAATATGCAATAGCCAACAACCAGATGGGAAATATGAAGTATACAAGTGCACAAGCAGCCTGTGAATTGGACACTTTGTTTGCAATCTATCTGATGGTGTGTACACACTTCAGGAACAACATAAAATGATTGGTGGCTACAAAAAACATTTCTCCACTCTATGTTCCATCATAATGTGAAGATTAACTAAAGAAAGAATAAAGTACAGTACTATACTGGAATGAAATGTTTACAATCACATTCATTAACGGCAGTGCTTATTCATATCGGTGTTAATATACCAGTTAATAGAGAAAAATTGCCAATTCATTTCTCTTTGTAACTCCTCCTTGAGAAGCAGTTGTCAGATTTTCCTTGTGCATTGATTGTGAAAATGTACTTTCATCGTTAACATTTTGATCCCAGCAATCAAAGTAATTGTCTCCATTGCTTTCACAGAGATTGTGAAGAACCAAACAAGTCTTTGCAATGTCAATCATATTGTCCAGTTGCAAGTCACATCGTTTAAGTAAGATTTTCCATCGTCCTCTCAAGTGAGCAAAGGCTACCTTCAAAGGTGTAAAGGCTTTATGTAAATGGTAATCAAACCTTTTCTGCATTGAATCTTTTGATTTATTAAATGGAAAAGGTGTCATAAGCGAATGAAGTAGAGGAAATGATGAACCTGCAATTAAGTGAAATTCTTCTGGTATCAGCTTTGCAGAAAGATATCTGTACAATTCACTTTTGAAGAATGTTTCTGCATCACTGCTTCCACCAGGTTGTCCCACATCAGCATACCTGAAAAATAAAATATATAAGGATTACACAACAGTTACTGAATTTCATTCAATTTGTGCTCCAGTTTGTGGCAGAAATAAATACTCATAACTGTTACTACAGGCAGACCAGCATGTCCATGCTGTATAGTAACTGAATGTTCAAGCATAGAATGTGGTTCCCAGTTCTGTTGGTAGTTCTATTGCTGTGACTCCAAACTGGAGAGGAGAAAAATAAATCTTGTGATCAGACTGTGGACTCCTCCACCCTTGTGTTAACATGTGATAAGAAATAAATTATGCCCTGACCCATATATCTGTGCACTATGGTGTGAACATGATGCATAGTTGCTCATCTGCAGTAGACATTATAGAACTTATATCTTATATTAAAGCAAAGGTATATGTACAAAAACAGATATTGCCCTGAGTTACTACAGATATCCCATCACTATCCCCAAACTCCTTAGAATAATCCAGGCATTTCTGCCAGCACTACTCAAGCCCAAATACGCTGCTGTGGTAAAGTTTCTTCCAATATTTTGCAGCCATGTACCTACATACAGTTTGCTGGGCTGCCTTATCATTTTGACAGTGTTGGCAATCAAGTTCTGCATATTTTACCATGAACCAGTTTGAGTACACTCTTCCGTATCTTTTCATCCATTTTTGCCATCATAATGCCAATTCACCACCTCCCACAACGTAGGCAACACAGCTGTATAAGACAATGTCACTGTATGCAGTATTAGTAGGTCCTCAATGCTGCCTTACAACACATGTCAAATGATATACCTGAACCACAAGAAACCTTCATTTTTTGCAATTTAATGACATGTATCAGTTGTTTTCACCAGTGTTTGGAATCTGCATATAGATACTTACACATTCTTCTAGTTCTTTTTCATTTTGTGATGTCCACCTGACTCATATAAAAATATTGTACTCCATGAATGCTTTCTTCTGCAAATTCATAAAAGTCTTTGGGTGACAGTATTTGTGCATCATAAGAAAACTGTTGCAAACTTCTTTTATGAAGTGCAATCTTCTGTTCACTACTAAGTCATCTCTTTTAACTTCAGAGAATGCGACTTCCAATTCTGTGAACAATATATCAGATGTGAATGTAGGATCAATCTGAGGACCATCTGATTCTTCACTGTTCAGTTCAGGTTTTATGTTAGTTTGAACAAAATGACTGTCCTGGTATAAGAGAAGAATGGTCTGTAAATTGTTATGACACAGCATGCAAACTTTTCCTCACAGCTGCCTTTTGTGTCTAAGGATCACAACATTCTCCTTCAAACAAGTGAGTATACAGAGTGTAAATAAATATATGTTACAGCGCTCTGTGGTAGATAGATGGGTTCAATGTGATCATGTCATTAATACACCCATGTCTGGAAACATTTTGTTTACATACTAGGGCCTCTGAAATGTGAAGGACACCCTTACGACACCCTTACCTCTTACCTCTGCAGCTTACTGGTGACATTAACCTGACATTTCTCCAAGAGACCTCACCCGAGCTACTCGAAATGGTGCCTTTGGAAGTCCAACATGAAATGTGGTTCCAGTATCATGGCACCCTGGCACACTGCACTAATGTCGTCCATATTTGGATGAAACCTTTGGCAACAGATAGACTGGATGTGGAGGCCCTATAATCTGGCACCCTCACTCCCCAGACTTGACTCCACAGAGTTTCTTTCTATGGGGGGTACATGCAAAGCCTGGTGTAAGAGACTCCAGTGGAGACACAATATGATCTTCTGGCAAGAAATACAGTAGCAGCTGGAACCACCTGGGAAATTCCACGATTCTTTCAAAGACTTCAGCATAACATAGCCAGGCAGTGTAGAACATGCAACGAAGTCAGCGTCCACCATTTTGGGCAACTTTTATAATTTTAACAACGATAACATCCCCTAAAACTTATGCATCCCCTCAGAAAATTTTGTGACCCTTAGTGCCAAAAGGAAGCATTTCCAGACATGGGGGTATTAACAAAATATAATCAGACTGAACCCATCTATCTACCACAGAGCGTTGTAACATATATTTATTTACACCCTGTATAGTCGAGGTTTCTGTACCATCACACAACACAGCATTTTGACAATTATATAAAAATGAACCCATTCTGGATCAATATAAATTTTCCTAACTGGTGTCACAAAATGTGAAATGTACAGTCTGTAAAGTTGTAAGAATACATATACACACAAGTCGTGAATATGCTGGATGGTATTTTGAGTGGTGTATATTTTTATGTGACGTTTTGGTATTATTCCTATATATGTGTGGGTAGCATAGCAGTAGGTAGTATTACGTTCGTATATTCAGAAGATCACCATGTGCTCTTCTGCATGTCTTGCCCATATGTATCTGCAATATATAGGAGGAAGATGATTTTGGGAATATTATTTTTGCCGTAGTTCTTTGGGCATGTTTTTTTTGGGGGGGAGGGGTGTTTGCTTACATATGGGTGTGTGGATGTTAATATGCAGCAATGCAGGTTTTGCAATACTGGACATGTCACTGTGGATCAGTATGTTTTTGATTTCCTGCAATGGAAAGCAAATGAGATGTTGTATCATGTTATTCATGTGTTATTGGTACTGGTACAGATTATGTGTATATATAAGTGGTATACTTACTATGAATGTGGGTATTTAGTTTGTAAGAGTTTATGTGCTGTGACTGCTTTTATGTGGACTGAATTTTCTGAAATATAAAATGTATCGCGATGTGACTTTGACACAGACATGATATAAAAATTAAATTTAGATACTAATTCAGTGTCGTGTGTTGTGTAGTGCTGAATGGTTATCTGTTCATAGTGTGTTCCCAGTGTAGCATATATGTGGCTGGTGACTGAAGTGTGTGCTGAGGGTTCACTTTTATGTAAGAGGCGTGAAGGGGAACATGGCAATGAATGGGGGATGGGTGGAAGATGGGGATAATCAGCTTCAGCATTGTTCTCTGGGGTATGTTTTCAGAACAGCATTATTAGTATGGAATCATTCTAATGTGTTAAGTAACTGGCATTTCTTTTAAATGTGGAGTATTTCAATTGTTTTGCCTATGGTGTCCTATGTGTACTGAGCTTCTAATATGTTGAATTGAATTGAATTTATTTACATTCTATAAATCCTAAGTAGGTTAGTACCTTTGGATACAGAACAAGTCAAAAGGTTACATACATAAGTACAGGCAATTTTAGCTTAAAAATTAATATAACTTAATTTTACATCATTCTCTATTTACATTGAAGTATTCATCTAAAGAGTAGAAGGAATGAGCATGTAGATAATTCTTTAACTCTGANATTGAAGAGGCAGAATTTTTAATTTCTTAAATAATTCTCTACATGAATCTCTACTTCTACATCCTGTAATGATTCTAATTATATTCTTTTGTATTTTAAAAATTATTACACTATGTGAAGAGTTCCCCCAAAATATTAATCCATAGTTCATAATAGAATGAAAGTAGGCATGGTAAACCATCTTCAATGTTTCCTGTGACATAAAAGGCTTAACTGATCTCATCGCATAGCAAGCTGCATTTAATTTAGGTATAATGTGTTGGGCATATCCAGAGTTCAAGTTCATTTCTCACTGCCTACATACATATGTTCTTTGGAATGGTTCAACATGCAATGCCTGTTTGTCCATCATATTTCAGGGTCCTTTTTGTGGCTTATATGTCCTTGTATTGTGTTGATGGTTTTGAAGGATGTATGTAAGTCTGTGTTTTTGAATAATCTAATGATGATTCTAGTATGTGAAGGTAGTCCATTTTCATTCTTTCGGTACAGGATGATCTTTGGTGTTGTTTGGTTTGTGTTTGTTTTGAACTATGCTTGTGGGATAATTACTATTCTGTAGTATGGTTTTCATATGTTGTAGTTCCCATTCTCTGCTTCAGTTGGTAATGGGATATGTGTTCATACAGTTGGTTAGGTATTTAATTGCACAGTTTTTGTGTTCCTGTGGATGACATGAGTTGGTGCGAAACATTTATCCAATATCTCACACATACTACAATTTTCAACATCTTTATGAAGCACTGCATCATTGTCTACTTTTGTTATGTTGCCAATATACTGTTTGCAATACACACAACATTATCATTTGAAAATACACCAGCTTAATTTAATTCAGTGTATCCACAAATCAAATTCACTGTCAGAAAAGAAACAGAATAAACTAAAAGATCTAGACATTACAGTCACAAATAGACATACCCAACTAATGTTCAACATATTCAGAAAACCCACACCAACTAGAAAACTTTAACTATATTGACCAAAAATGGACATTTTAAACTACATATTCAACAAAAGCATAACATATTTTTGATTTTACATGTATACACCTGAAGATGGTAAGCAAGACCAAAACATGTGTTTTTAATTTGATATGATAAACAGACTCATTGGTATATTCAAACTCATTATATAATGGCCAAAATATCACGTGTTGTGTGATGGTACAGAAACCTTGACTATATATTCACAGCAGGATGCAAAGCATATAAAAAAAGAATGAGTGTATGTTCTGCTATGATAAATAATCTGGAGAGGTACACATATTTCAAGTGATATGGTTTCCAAAACTTTGGCAAGAGCAAATATCCCTCTCCAGCTGACAAATTCTGAATATCCAAAAGGTCAGCATACTTAGTGTATGTCACTTTGCAGCATTAATTTTGTTAGCTAACTTGCCAAAGAAGCTCTATTATGCTTCATCAACTTCAAAATACACAATTATTAATTAAACAAATGGATGAGAAGAAAACTTCCTGCTGCTAGAATTTTAATTTAATTTCAAATTTTGGAAAAAAAAAAAATAATAAAGTATATTACAAGGTACACATGTGTGCTATTATTACCCTATTTTAGGTTATATTATATACAGTACCTTACATTCTTAATACCTGATTTAACTGGCAGTGTTTACTGCAGCTCTGTACAGCAAGTAAGGTTGAGGTGTCTAACTGATGCTTCATTTCATCACTCACAACACATCATCTTCATAATGTCAAAGTTGCCAATCTGAAACATGTGCTGTTGCTATAGGAATGAAGTTGGGCACATCAAGTCTAACCATTCATGAGGAAGGAACATCACTTTGTCTCTCTACCATTAAAATGTTCCCTCCCATCCATGATAATTTTTATATGAAATGTGCACAGCTCAGAAATGAAGTATAAGAATGCTCAAATTTGCACAGTGTGTAAGGCACACAACGGTGATTACATCCTAAAATTTTCATTGCATTATTTTTTACCCCAAAAATTTCACAGAACTGGAAGTTGCATGACTTAATGCATATTTACAAAGTTTTCGTTTCTTATACTTCCACTTGCTGTAGGAAGGCTATTCCCTACTTGGCAGTACAGGTTAAGGTCTTATGCACAGATGCAATACAGTAAATTACCTGAATGTATGATGATGATCTACAAGTCCAAGGACCACTATAGAATGGTACCCTTCTTTGTTAAAATAATTATTTTCAGACTGTGAAGGTGACAAAATTGGGATATGTGACGTTCCTAATACACCCAGACACCCAGGAAAATGCCACCTGTTGTTGAAGGCACTAACAATTTCTTCTCTTTCCATCACAGTAGAAGGAAACGTTACAATTTTACCATACAATGTTTTACAGACTGCACTACTGAATTCCTTCAAAATCAGATGAACTGTACTTTCTCCAATTCCGAAAAGTTTTGCAACGGAAAGGAAATCACTACTGGTTCTCAAAAGTGTAAGTGCTACAGCAATTCTTTTATCCACTGGAATTGCTGGTCTCATGATTGTATCTTCTCGAACTAGGTCTAAGTACAGCTCGTCAACAAGACACTGGAACGTTTCACGCCCAGTGCCAAAATGTTTCAAGAAATTTATGTCGTTATATGTTGGTACAATTTCTTCCCAAAACCGTGCTGATGTAGGATAAGCCCAACAAGATTTCACTACATTTCTTCGACGCCGCTGTTGCAAAAGACGCATCATCAATAACCTCCTGCGTCGAAGTAGTCTCCAGTTTTCTTTTTCATATCCTTTTCGGCGCCTATTCCAATATTCTAAAAGCCAGTGTGTTATAACTAAAATAATCTGCCACATTTTAAATTAATAACTAATTTACACACTTTCACTCGGACAGTTTGCAAAAACATGTATCTATACAGTATAAATCAGATACAACATTCCCGTGCATTCCTATTTCAACGTATTTCTGTACGAGCATGTACAAGCATATAGGCCGATATAGGCTTCCTATGAACGCTATGAACAGGGAATACCACGATCACCACGGTTAACAACTTACAAATGCGTAAGTGAATGTGATTGGTTGGTAACTTGCATATTGTTCTCCCATCTGCTCCTATCGCTCAGTGCGATTTGGTACTGCAATGGCGGCAATGGCTCTGTTGGCAATGTTAGCTCAGTCGGTAATAACTATTGTTTTCCAGTTAAAAAAAATGTGTAACCGATCCACTGGTGCCTAATCCTGCTTTTTGTGGGTTTAAACTACGCAATGAAAAGCAGAAAACCGAAAATTGAAAAGTCAACTTGATTGCAGAATTGATAGTTACTCATTTATTCATTTCATCTACTACTTGTGATGTTCAAGTTGGTTTTGTTTACATCTTCGATGTAACTAAAAAAATTTTCACCATCACCATGTTTGTAATTGTTGACTGACAAAATTTATTTTTAGGTTGTGATACAATATGTTCACTCTGTAGCATTCATTCATTATTTCTGTACAGTACATATGTGTGCAGCAGACATTTCTTGGAAAGTGATTTCGCTGTAACTGCAAGGATGCACCTGAACAAAACGAAGGTTCCATGTGGTTGAGGTTCAGCTTCACATCCTACAACCTTATGTCCCTTCATTCTTAGATTCCTTGCATTCAGCTGTGATTCCTGAAGATGACCCTCATATCAAACTCCCTACCACAACCTACAGCAAAACATTATATGGCTTCTTTTACTGCAAAACTATGCTTATCCATGAAGAGAGTCCTTCCATATCCTCTCAAATGTCAGCAGTCCAGATACTGCCAATAGTGGAAGAAACTTCCCTTTCACTAAATCCTCTAAATTTAAATGTATTTCTTATGGAGTACTTAAGCACATCAATTCTGCAAGGTCTCCCATAAAGGACAGAGCAAGGCATTTTCTGCTAAATTAACTTAATTTTGCATCCCTTTCAGATCTCACATGATGAAAGAGGAAACTGTATGAATACAAGTATATTCTGGACAAGGAGAGTTACTTTGTAAACCCAAAGAAGAACTACAAGGCAAAGAATGTGAAAAAGCTGTGATGTGGACAATGGCCCAGTAACTGAGAACAGTTTTTCTTGTTTTACTGCACAGGCTCTCAGTTTATTGGCAGCAACTATTATGAACAGCAGACAGAAGCCTAAGGGCAAAACAAAGTCATTCCTTAAACATAGCCCAAAGTCCTATATTCTTTTCTGGACACTACTTCCCCTCCCATCTAGATGCACTTACAATTTGCCCTCAATACTGTAAACTTCAGGAGGGGAATCAGTGCTCATGTTTGGCATACTCCAACCCTCTTTGCAGAAAATATATGATAAGAACATTAGTGTTGTCTTAGGCTTGATTCATTGTCAATCAGATAGAACTTGTATTTCATCCAGAAGTTTGACTGCACTAAAGGTTTTGGGGACTGTAGATGTGAGGACAGGACACACATCACAAACCATGCTCTAGTATTCATGCACACTGCAGTGAATTCGATCAACTATAACATTCTACTACTAAAGAAATGATAAATGTGAATATATTGCGCAAATTTTTCCTACTCATTATCCCCAGAACCTAGCTGTGATCAGGAAAATATCTTGTCATAATCATTTATTATTATTTCTGTAGATGAACATACAGGTTATGTAATATATGTCACAGAAATAATATATTTAGTCCATTTAAAAAATAGTTTGAACAGAAAATTCTCTACCAAGAATATGGTTTATGACTGAGAATATGACAATGAAAACTTTGCCATAAGGAATGCGTAATTAAATGTACAAAAATATTGTAATTACTTGTAGTTAACAGTCGCCTGTAAGGAAGCCCTGTAACATTCTTTATTCTTTCAGGAGGGTGCTACTGCAAATAGTGGAATGCGTGTTGACCCAGGGAAAACAACTGCATTGTCCATTTAACAGTAACAGTCCTCATATGGATCAGTGGACCACAGCAAATATGGGATAAATGGCTGAATCTTCCACAAGGACTGCAAACTGACCTTTCTTTGAGTTCTTCACAGAATGGGTGGCTAAATGACATTACTGCTCCCCAACATGTATTGAGCACTATGAAAGAAGCAAGGTTGAAGTATTTTCAGACCTGGAACTTGAATTGGGACCCCCGTGAGACACATTTGGTGCTATTCATCTGTACTTTGGTTCATATGATAAGCCAACTGTGAGACAGGTTGTAGATCTTAAGACTAGCATCATCAAGTGATGGTTTTAGAGGCCTGCATGGCACTAACTGCAAGGATGATGTACTACTTGTCTGGATAATCTACATTCCTTGCTCAGGGCACCAGATACTTTTCCACCTATCCTCTCCAATCACAGTGCAGTCTATCAGGACACACAAGGCTATTATGTTATCTTTCAGGTTACATGGCAAAGTAAGCCTTGTCTGTTTTACAAAAAGCAATGTTTGTATGAGTACCTTGGGCTTGTTCTAGAACCTGGAAGACTGCATGACACAGGTTGTTAGACAACATCTGGTTAACTTGATCTTATTCTAGAACATGATAGGCTGTATATGTTCAGTTCTGTGATTGAAATACTTTTGGTATGAATCAAGCTCATATGTATTTGGGTTCCTAGTAACTGTCTGAGTCCCTTGTATGGGTTCAGCTACCTTGCATATGTTACTGCCTTCAGTAGTTGGCAATTCTGAGTAATAGTACTGTGACTGGTGTCAACCAGTCCTTGTGACTGCTGACCAATGTGGTCTTTTAGTGTGCTGACTCATATTTGTTATTCCATCCTTATTATTATATGTACTTTCATTACTCTCTAAGGTAAGAGAATAATTCTCTAAGCCTATTGGAGGTCCCCAATGTGGCAGATATATTTTCTTGCTTATACTTGGGCACCTTGCACAAGCAGTCAGAAATGATGGAGCTGCCTGTCTTTATGAGTAAGATGGTACATGCTTATTAGGAACCTTCCTTAAAAGCACTGCTGTTTTTATTAAACATATTTCCTGGTACTATCATGTCCTGTTTTACTTGCAAGATAGAAACATACAATACACTGGTAGATGTGTGACTTTTGACAAGTTATCCGGTATGTCTACCAACTAAAAGATGCATTACTTATAAGCACAAATGCTGCCCAGTATTTGCAGTGCGACAAAAACCCACGATTTTGACCCGATTTCATACATATTTTCCCATGCTATGTGACAGGCCAATTCAAAATGCTGTCACTGGCACTGTACTTATACCAGTTCATCTGGAACACAAAATGGTCAATCTTTAAGTGAGCAGCATAATACTGGCTCCTGCCTTTTTTTGTTTGTCCATCAACTGACATGGCATCTGATCTTCCCTGGTAAAACCACCACAAGAGCATGAATTCCAAATCCCCATTCTCTGTGTCAAGCATCTTTTTCTGTTACCCATCTTCCATCACATGGAACAGCTAATCACATTCCGTCTTTATTGTTCAAAATGTTCAAAAGTTAATCCATAATGCTTTTACTGAGTAGTAGTACTTCAAGTTTCATACTCATGTGTAAGCATTTCTGTTTCACTGTGTTATTCTAAATGTAGCCTACCACTCTCAGTATGCTTCAAACACCTGCTGCCCTGATTTAAGAAACATCTCAAGAATTGACAAGTGCTTATGGCCATTTTATTGCTGCCTACTTGGTGTATGTTTACATTAAGTCTGCAGATATTATGAACTGGCTCAGGATAGGATTCTATAATAGGCATATGTGGTTATAAAACTTTTGAATTGGTAACTGGCATCATCGTCTGAATTCACTCCACTACTGATGATCTGTAGGTGTTAGAATTTAACAAAACCAGTTTGTAACATATCAATTTTTATTTTCAATTCTCAACTTCCACTTGGATCCTTGCCTCATATAGCACCACATTTCTTTAACAGTGATACATGCATTAATACATGAATCCTAGGGGAGTACAAACTTCGGTATCACACAGCAGTAAGGATTACTGAATATCAATTGAAAAGTTTGTATGGTATAGTCTTTGTGTATATAAACTCAACAATGGATAAATGTCTAATCTGTTTTAGTAGCACTGGTAGTAGTAGAAATAATAATTACAATAACAACATATATATGGTAAAAGTTCACCTCCTTCACCCATATTATTATCCTAAGGCAGTTGTGTTCTCAGAAATAGCAAGAAAGGGAAAATAAAAAAAATATATATATATAAGTCCCATATTTCAAATCCAGTGATTTGGTGGGGTGGGGGGGAATGAATGCTTGCTTTTAGAAATCCGGAGGCTACTTCGGTCAAGGCACAAACTTCCATGTTTTTGTGTCCCCGCCTGCAATAATTACAATAATAATGATAAAAAATTCAGAACTTCTATGACAAAAGCACAACAGAACACAGCAATCCTATGAATGCATGTAATCGCTTCATTGCATCTGATGTAAGCACTAACGAGTTTGTTTCATCTTACCACACACTATATAAAGCAGTCAGTTACCAAATAACAAGTTACACCATACACATCACAATCAAGGACCAATCAGTGCACTTCACCATCCTGGCAAAAAACCAAGACTTGTCGAAATAGAGCCTGAGAGGACCTGTGTTTTGTAGCTTAGACGTGCTCAATATAGTCATGGGCAGACCTGGCAATTCTTCACATTTTCAGTTTAGTTTCCCAACCAAATGTAGGCATTGTGGAAAAGAGACTGATTTCTGATTCAAAAACTTGGGATGGCAACAATATATTACTTCATATACTATATATACACACAAGTTGAACTAGTCCCACCATACACACATACATGTTCAACTTGACTCAGATACCAACCACCATCTGCACATGTATGCACAAGAAGCAATTCTCATATTTACAGTACCACTAGGCCTTGTTACAGTATATCTGATAAGCAGAAGGCCATCTGTGCGGAAGCCATGAAATGTTTCTTTAGTCTACACATCGATATGTAAGTACCGTGATCACTTAGCCAAGTGTGTTGCAGCTTTCCACTTTCTGAGCCACCGGGATGTCTTTCATAAAAACTGTAAATGAAAAATATCTAACCAGATTCAATTTTCCATGTACAGGGGGGGGGGGGGCAGTAAGCTGCAACTAGCTTTCCTGTGAAATTATCTGCTGAACTACATTTGGGAAAGTAATGTAGAGAAACCACCCCCCAAATCTCATACCTATCATGGCTCAGTAACGGTTTCCTTGTCATCCATAAATGTGGATGGAAATGTTAAATTATCTATATAAATGGGGCATAGGTATGGTTGGTGGGGGGGGGGAAGTAAGGGAAGACCTTTGAATTAACATCCAATCAGCAAATACCAAGTCTCGGAGTCCAGAGATATCAGGCCAGGGTCATTAATGCAGCAGTCAGTGAGGGACAGGGAAGCCACCACCCAAATAATGTATACGTCATCAACATTGTTGCCTAATTCAATTTACACATTCTTGGTGAGGAGACTGGTCACCCTTGAGAAAGACTATCTCATTATACCAACAATATAATTAATGACTTTTTTCTTTAAATTAATCACATACTCTTTGAGTTCTTTTATCATTTATACTAAATTAATTTCAACCTGTTCTGACAGTGTATCATTTCATCCTCTATGCTCGGGTATTGCTAATGTGATTATGTCTCAAGATGCAATAGTGGAGCCCAAACTGCTGGAAAAGGTATCAAGTTAACATAAAAGGTGAATACTGAATGACATCAGAATACATTTATAAATTGAATATAAAATTTGCAGTTTTGGGCTGCCTTACTAATAGTTGCCAATGCAATCATCCAAGGGACCAACATGCTGTATAATTCATTATACTAATTCATTACAGTACAAACACCCTTAATTAGGCCAACGACAAAGCCATTCTCATTCTATATAATCCCATATTTAATTGCTACAACAAGGACAATAAAAATGATCAAACCCAATCTAAATGGTGTATACGTTGTGTTAACTATCTTCAGTTCACTTCCTAAAGATAACTGAATAATGGCATGTTAATATCTTCCACCTAAGAATGTGCTGAAGTTTTCAATGAAATGAGTTTCTGAGTATTCTATCAATTTGTCATTTTCATTGAAGATGAACAGATGCAAAAACAGTTGTGAAATGATAAACCCTCTCCTTAAATTATAACTTAAAATGTAGCATTTCTTTGCTAAGACAAGTTCACTATTGAAAAGAAATATCAACAGAAAAACTGCAGCCATTCTTAGGACAATATAAACATAAACCAGGGTAAACAATCTTAACGACGAGGGCCCCAGGCACCTGATGGGGAAGGGACACATTGTGGGTCTTCTCCACCACCTCCAAAAGATGGAAACTCGGATGTGCTGGCTGTATCAGGAGCACGTTGTTCCCAGGGTCCTCCTTTCACCACAAAACCAGTAACTCCTCCACCATGGCCTAAGGAAGAACCACCATCTTCACCACGGCTGAAACTGGGACGATAACTTTCCCTCATCTCAGCATCATTTACATCCTGCATCTGGAAATATATGAAACAAAAGTCAGGACTCTCAAAACAGTGGCTGTATTTTACATTAATAAAACAAAATTTTGGAAAATATGCACTGATCTCAGCATAAAACAAACACTGGCCACAATATTTCCAAGTCAGTGTTAAACATGGCAATAAATTAATTATCTACTTTTCTCAAAAACACTTTATAATTTCTCATTTATCTGTACTATGATAACAGCCATTTTACTTTCATAATTCTAAAGTCTCTTTTGGTTTTGCTTTTAAAACATACACTTCTAAGAAAGTCATATTTCATTAACATGATTACAGATAAAATTCATTCTATCTAAACATATGCTGAGGGTACAAGGAATAAAACTTATCAAAATAATTTTGTCATGGAAGAACATATGAAGTTGCTACAGGTATTTACACATTCCCACTACTTATATCACCCAACATTAGAAAAATCTGACCATGTACAAGGTCTAGAAAGCACAAGACTGTACAGTAAAACAACTTACATATTCTTCTTCCAGGTTTAAGAGGCAATCCCTGGCATCCAAAACATTTTCTTCAGCACCAATCACAGTGACAATGTTTGGATCAGTGTCTGTGCTTCTTGGGAACTTGATATCAACACTATACTGTTCCATGATCTTGTGTATATTGCGTCCACGGGCACCAATGAGTCTTGAGTGGACTCGAGCATCAATGTGTACCTCCTCCTTCACCATGTTATTCTACCAAAAATATGACAGACTTCAGATATGGACATGAAGGTTGCTGTATTCTGGAAGAATCACTCTTCCACACTAATGATGGAAGTATGATGTTCTTCTGAAACGTTGGAATCTATCCACCAAATAGCAAAGCAACATTTCCTATTCTGAAAATGGCAGAGGCAGCAGGGTTCTGTGATACCCATCTACCAAACAGCATGCCATCATATCTAAGAAGACTGTAATCTTCACAGACACTGCTGTGAGAACCTCAAATCTCTCAGATACAGGTATGTTCTAGTATATCTGATTACCCAGCCTCCTAAAAGTGAAATAATCCAAGCTTAGTTCTGGACACTTACAACACTGTGTTCTCAATTTCTATGCTTAATACGTACCTCCATGNTAGGGTTATAAAGTGTGAAACCCCGCAACTGTGAGATAATTAATTATAGCCGTTATTTGTAGATTGTTCAATAAACCAGTTAACGATCTCTACGGCGTCTTCGGTAACGCAAAACACGTTACACTGGTGTCAGAAGTGGGATCAGTAACGCAAGACACGTTACAATATATACACCACTGAACTTCAGTACTAGTAAAATTGGATACAATATTATTAATTATATAAAAGACTTGATGTAAAAATACAATAAATTTGAGTATATAAAACAAAACTTATAGTATAAAACAAGAATAAAATTCTTCGATTGATGCTTTACATCATCAAGTAAGTCGTTGGTTTTTGTAATTTAGTTGCGCTCCCACGGATTAACATTAATATCACTACATCTACATCACGAGCCTCCAAAATAATTTTCAAATTAACATTAATATTACTATATCTACATCACAAGCCTCAAATAACATTTTTTATAACATACAAAATATAGAATACTCTAATTTGTCTGTGGGAACGCAACAAAATTACAAAAACCAACGACTGACTCGATGATGTAAAGCATCAAACGAAGGATTTTATTCTTGTTTTATACTATAACTTTTGTTCTATATAATCTAATTTATTGTATTTTTACGTCAAGTATTTTATATAATTACGTGTAATATTATTGTATCCAATTTTACCAGTACTGCAGTTCAGTGGTGTATATATGTTACCCATGTATTTGCCTGATGATGGCTATTAATAGCCGAAACATGTAACAGAGCCAAAACTAGGCATTGATCTTGATATAGTTGTGTTGTGACAGTTTTAATAAAGAAGTTGTACCTCCATGATACCTGAACATTAAGATAAAGAGCAATAAACAGGAGTGAAGTGAGAAGGACAGTCACGGAGAGAAGTGGCACTGAACATGAAGGGCTGTCAGGAGGTCATTTCTCTCTGTTAATGTTAAGCTTCAGTTTCTTATTCAAGATGACTGTTCACAAAAGTCTTCTACTTCCCAATATATACTCTCTTGCATCTGTTGTACAACCGAATGCCAAGACTTGGCATAAGCTTCTTTCAAATACAGAGCCAAACTAAATCCCTCAACTAATTAATTAACAAATATATTTAGTTAATACCAAAGAATAAATTTTTACTGCCACAGTTCATGCTCCAATTCTCGACAGATAAAGTGTGACAATCAATAAAATGGCTAAAGAACTTAAGATTAGTCATGGTTCTTTCCATGAAATCATCCACTACAGACTTCACGTCTATAAGGTCTGTGCAAGATGGGTTCCAAAACAACTCGTGGAGCAACACAGGCACGATTGTTTGGACATCTGTAACCACCTTTCAGACCAATATAAATGAGGAAAGTGATGCCAAGTCACACCATCACTGATAACAAAACATGGGACCATTGCTACAGACCAGACAGCAACATCTGACACCCTCCATCAAAAATACATTCAAATCTCAACCAGCAATGGGAAAATTTATGCTCATCACACTATTCTGGGATTTGCAGGGACAAATCCTTGAACATTATCAGGAAAAAGGTGTCGTGAAAAAGAATGCATGTTGCAGTGAGCTGCTAAAACTGGCAATTCAGAGTAAATGCTGAAGACAACTGTCAAAAGGTGTTACATGACAATGACCATACCCATACTGGTGCCCATACCATTTAACCACACCATCAGCTACATTTTGTGATCACAGTTCATTCATCATACATCCATATCTCTGACCTTTACCCAGTGAATTTTCATCTGTTTTGATCCTTCAAAGGCATTTTAAGAGGCCATCATTTTGCCAGCAACCAAGAGCTGAAGGAAGCATGCACAGACAGCTTAATGCCTGGTTGAAAACTTTTTTTTTTACATGACAATACAAGAAGGTATGGGAAGAACTAATTTACTGCTTTCCTTTGATATGACAAGGATGCACAGAAAATGATGCATCCAACTGGTGGATGTGGTTTATTCTCTGTGGTTTGCCCTGACATTATACAAACAGGCCAACTTCCACTTTTCAGTAATCAGGGGAGGAGGGTTACACAGACAGACAGCAAGGTGACCTTATAAAGTACTTCAGTGGTCATCAACACAACAACTAATAAACAGAACTGATATTAAAAGTGTTAATAATTGTTTTATTATATATACCATATCCACTACATGTTTCAACCTAAAACATCATCAGGTAATACTCATGAGTTTATAAACCTATCATTACTGAACTGTATATCTACAATCATATGGCTCTAATTAACATCAATATTTACATTTAAACTGACAACATATTGTGAACACACATATGTTATGGTGCTGACTGGGTGTGTATGCTGTTAATGATTCTTGTTGATGCTGATGTCTATTGATGTAGTATGTGTTTTTAGTATGTGAGGATGTGCCATGATTGGTCAGCCCAAGAAGTTTCGTGTTTAAGTAAATACATAGTTATGCCTTGTATAATGTACTGATACCTATGATCATCATCTCTGTATGACATGCAGGCTGGTTTCATATGGTGTTCTTCAGATGTAGTTAGAATGCTGGGAGGTGACTGAATACTAAAGATACAGGTAATCTCATCTTCTGGCCACACTATGGCCCTGGGGTTCACTCAGCCTCTAACAGAAATGAGTACCAGGAATTAAATAAATAATTTTCATGGGGAGTAAAGCGCGTCCGGCTTGTAAGGCTGACAACCTTACCGCCATCTTTGAGCCGATTGTCTAGATAGTGTGGGACCCTTAACCTCTCACAACCCTATGGGCCTTCATGGCCTGTTACAGGGATAGCTTTACTTTCACTTTTACAGGTAAACTCATAAGCTTCTTTCATTCTGTAAAAAAATTTGAATTTTGGGGGCACTGCTGACCCCTGAGGTTAAGCCTACCTATGTGTACATAACACTGGAAGACAACTCATTTTTAGAGACCAAAAGGATTGCATTTATTATTTATCAGACATATTCTGGAATTGTTACATACTTAAATTCTCTTCAGCACATCTTTATTTCAATGAATAATTTCTAATGTAAACTAAAGATAATATAATGGCATGTCAGTGTACCATGTACATATGAAGTTACTAGCACTCGACTTACCCATTCGTTGACAATCTTCATGATGTCATCCCTGGCTGCTAGTGTGTTCTGTTCGTACCCAGTGATGGTTATGATATGTTCCTCAGGATCACCCTTCTTTAAGAAATTGACCTGTACACCATGATCAGATCGAATTTTGGAGATAACAGCTCCTTTCCTCCCAATAATCTTAGGATGGTATTCTGGGTCGACTTCAATCTAAAAAGGAAGTAAAAATTCATGTGAACTAAGCATGTATCATAACTTTTTTCTCATGTTAGCCTGTCTAAAACTAACAACACCAGTAATAATAAAAACTTGTATTAACTGACAGTGTTTCTTAAGTAAAGTTTTTGTTGAAAATTATAGATTCAATGGAAGTTTACATATTCTTCTTCTTTTTTTAAGAATTACATATTACAGTAAACTTCCCAGTATGAGAAGTGGGATGTTCCAGTTACATAAATCTGCCCAATTTTCACCTATTTCCAGCCTTTTACACAATTCTGTTTTCTGTCTAGAAGTCCAAATGAATATTTCTCACTTTAATTCTTAAATAGAAGTCCTCTTAGGTCTCAAATATACTAGTAATGTGACCACAAATTCAACTAACTTCTAGTGTAATCATGGATCACAATGACTATAAGGGCATCTGCATGAGGGAAGACAATGGGGAATGCTGCTAATGGTGGCTCGGAAAAGTACTGCATTGTGGGTGAAGACATGCACGTTGCAACTTTGTTTTTTGAGTAACTTTATACAAATGGTAAAGTTTTAGTGACATTTTAGCCGGTTGCATTATAATTCCAAACGCTTGGATACCAAACCACTTAAAGTTTACTATACACATATATCAACAATGAAGTCAGAGTGTCAGCTGACTCATTCAAAGATTAAACATTGCTAATACCAAGCCTGCTACTGGAGCATGATCATGAATCACATCCACACCCTATTACTGTAAGATTTTTCATAACTCTTTGATTGGCGCGGGCGCATTTTTATGCCCGAACGATGCCAGCCATTCCCTGGCGTTGGCATGTTTTAGCGCTTTGATACACTCTTCCCTTCTTTGCTGTCTTGACACTCATCAACCAAAGACATATTTATGATAGTTTTTGTGCATGGTTGTAAAGAACCCTTGTTGACTTTGTGGGGGTCTATATTACTGTCAGAACCCTCTGAGAAAGGAAAGGTCATAAAATATTTTACATTCATTCAGTTTTGCCATGGCTTCTCGTAGCAAGTGTTGGAGTGTTCCTACAGACCAGCTGGAAAGCGTTGTGAACGAGATTGTGCTGATGATGAAAGTGGCGATGAAATAATGATTCCTGAATTAGATGAAATTGATAGTGACAATAATACAGTGATAGACAATGATCCACAAGACAATAATCATGAACATTTAGCCACCACGAGTGCGGTGTCTGACACGCCCATCTCATGGACGTACGGAGACACTGTACCAACAATATATCCATTTACTAGTAGTTCCGGGATCAAAACTGATATAACACATAAAATGCACCCCTTTTCATGGATTAAAATTTTTCTGGATGACGATTTAGTGAATCAGATCACAACTGAAACCAATCGCTATGCTCACCAGCACTTCAAAACACATGAATTAGCTCCTCACTCTCGAGAACACAATTACAAATATGTCACACCAGATGAAATGTGGACATACTTAGGAATTGTGTTCATGACAGGAATTGACAAACGTCCAAAAATTGAAGAATATTGGTCCACTAGGCCCCTATTTCACACTCCATGGTATGGACAAAAGATGTCTTTGCGGCAGTTCCAACAGATCTCGAAATTTCTTCATTTTGCAGACAACGATGCACGACCAGCTGACTGTGAAGATTGCCTGTATAAAGTTAGGCCAATTATAGACTCATTGGTGGGGAAATTTAGAAACACATATATCCCTTAAAAGGAAACTGCAATAGATGAAGGAATGATCGCTTGGAAAGGACGTCTTATCTTCCGAGTATATATGCCTGACAAACCTGATAAGTACAGTATGAAGGCTTATCTTGTTTGTGAATTGTCAAGCGGATATATTTGGAATTTTGAAATGTATTGCGGAAAATCAAGCCCTATAAAGGAATTAGTTGCCAATCTGTTGGGGCCCCAGCTTCTAGCTAAAGGGTACACAATAGTGTAGAATTGTGTGAGATGTTATTACAGAGAAATACCTATGTGTGTGGTACCTTCAGAATGGACAGAGGAGCTCCTAAAGAACTACAGGATGAGGTAAAAAGTTTGAAGAAAGGGAAATCTGTGTTTTCTAGGAAGGGGCAGGTTCTCATACAGGTGTGGAGAGATAAAAAGAGACGTCAAACTTATCTCCACTTTTAACACAGCAAAAATCGTGGAATCTGCAAAAACGAATTGCAAAGGAGAAAAAATATGCAGACCCGAGGTAATTGGGGACTACAATAAACATATGAGAGGGGTTGACAGGGCAGATCAAATGCTGTATTATTATCCTTGTTCCCGCAAAACTGTAAAGTGGACAAGGAAACTGGTGTTTTTCCTGTTGCAAATGGCAGCATTAAATAGTTTCATTCTATTCAAAAAGAACACAATGAAAAATACAAGAAGAGAAAATACAAATTCAAAGATTTTATATTGAACTGTGCAGAAAAAATGACAGAACCAAACAAACAGTGTGGAGAGGGAGAAGAGTCAAGGAATGAAGTGGATGACGAATCTATTGTTTCAGACTCAAGTGCAGTCACGCCTCAACCCGAGACATTGAAAAAACCACCAGTGAAGGACCCAGCAAATTGCCTAAAGGGTGGCCTAAAAATACACAAAATGGTCCATGTTCCTCCCAGTAACAAGAAGAAGAATGGTGCCATTAGAAAGTGTCGCATGTGTGCTAAGCACCAGATTAGAAAAGAAACAAGTGTCATGTGTGCAAGCTGTGGTGTGGCTCTCTGCAAACTTTCATGTTTCAATGTTTATCACACGAAGGAAAACTATTAAAAAGGTATGAAAAGACATCTTTTGCATAAAATATTGTCTTTTTATTAGTTCCTGAAAATTTCGTTTTTAAAAACCAACTTTTGTTGAAGTTATTTACAAAAAGTAAACACATGCAATTTAGCAACTTAAAGCTTAAAGAGTCTGCCAGGACAGGGATGGCATTTAAATACCCTTCACGCCAGTCAAAGAGTTAATGTTATTCTGATGATGATGTGTGTGGGGTGTGAAATTCCCTTGGTGCTACAGCCTTAAATGGGCCTTTCTTACCAGCCTTTGAGAAGGACAATGATATATATGGCTAAAACACTGGTAAAATAATCAAAATATCAAGAGACTTAAAGAAAAAGCTGTTCCAGTGGCAGTCTGCCCACCAAAAGTTCTACATAGCACACTCTGAAACTGAATTCAGGTCTCTACTGTGAAAAATCAGTGACTACCTGGACAATGGAACAACCGTAATATTATCCTCCCATCTCCTTGGTCTTCCAAGTGTCTACATCAGCTACAAATAATTTATTAGCACAAATAATATATGGTAGTTTTACAGATTTTCTGCAACATGTTTCCTACTTGATGGTTTTCATTCCCTTAACATTCATGATATCCTTGTAACTGTCAAAATTGAATGCTTTAGTATTTATTTTATATACACACACAACATTCATTAAGATTCATCTTAAAGGACAGAAGTATGTGTGTGAATTTTCAAATTAAAAGTATTCACTCTAAACATAAAACTAGCAATAAAAGGCTAACAGTATGGGTATGGGATGGGTATGAAATTAGTAAATATCTTTCTTGCCTTTAGTTCAAATGATTTCAAAATGCGGTCTTGCCTCTCGGCTTCGAGCTCCTTGCATCGCTCCTCAATTGCTTCTTTTGCTCTTTCAACACAGGCTGGAGTACCTGATATCTGAAACAGCATGAGAATATAACAACTTGGTTCCTGCAAGATTGACAATACTGGCAGCACTACTTCAGAACTCACTCACAAATATTAAAGAGTAACCATACAAACATGTATAATAAGGAGACAGCTTTTATCTCGTTAAAATTACAGTACTTCATTTAAAGATGATTCAGATGGGAAATAGGCAGTGATTGTTTTGAGTACCAGAGAATTTGATGATCACAAAGGCCTTTGCATGTGCATGTGCTCTCTCTCTCTGCACATGACAGAGAGAGAGATAGATCCCCCCCCACACACACACACACACACACACATGCCCGCGCACAGAAAGAGAGAGAGTTCTGTAACAGCGAGTGAAGGCTCTGAATTGTGGAAGTTTTGGTTGAAATAGCAACAAATTTTGGAGCACTACAGCAAAGTAAGTTATGTATTAGGTTATGAATGAGTTAAAAGTCTTCTGTTTCTAATAAGGAATGACTTTCTATGGAATTGGGTAGCCTATATGAAACAACAAATAGAATTCCTATATTAATATATTTAGTTTATCTCTGATTTCTACAGGCTGTATTTGAGGAAACTATTTGTATATGTCTCCTGTTAATTTCAAGAGTATTCGGCAACATAACAATATGATTATTTGCAGTGTGTAAGTACTCCAGATGCCAATAGTCACCTCATTAGTAGGTCCTACCAGGATATAAACAGGAATATCAATACATATGACTTGAAACTCCACTGGGAAATGTATCTTTGCAGGAGATTTATAAAGAATGGGGTCTACACTCAATATGCACAATGACATCAAGGGGAGAATATGCATGAAACGAAGCATGAACAAGTTTATAACACACGGTCCAGTTTTCAAGGGAAACATCATCAGTACCACTTTCAAAAAATGTATCTGTGCTGATTTCCTTCCACCATGCAAAAATATATTTTGATTAACTAAGTGATGGAATGGATGCTATCACAGATGGCGGTGGTCAGAAGAACTACTGATAAGAGCAAAGCACTTTCAAAATGCTATGAAACAATGTATGAGCAGTACCTTCAGAGTTATAGCTATTATCTACAAGCCATTCATGACATCCTACAGTGCACAGTCAAAAGCCTGTATGCAATCTAATCTCTGTGCGAAGAGTTATAGGCACTGGACAAACTTTTTCAAAAGTTACTGACAGTAAAAGCAGTTACCAGTAACTTCCTAAGTGTATTAATCAATGTATTTACATAAATAAAAATTAAGAAAGTTGTTCCTGCACAGCAAATTTGATTCAGTTTCCCTAAAAACATTAATACATGCAATTCTTAGGTAAGTAATTTCAAAGTAAAGTCTATAGAGCAGAAACGTTTACAAGCAGTTAATGTTTACATCTGGTGGTCACAGGATTAATTATAACCAAGAGCAGCCAAATAATGGGAACCCAATGCTTCAAAAAGACAAACACAAGAAAGGCACAAGATATGAAGCAACTTACCTTTATAATATCCAGTCGCTGATCTGCTGGGGACAATACAATATGAACATCATACTTTTCCATGAGTTCACGTACATCTCTTCCCTTCTGGCCAATGATAGAACGGTGAAAATCAAAGGGAACATTAACCTAAAAACAAAGAACACACACACTGTGGCTAACAAAATTGTCAGATTCCTAAATCACAACGGTAAGTCAATCCATTTCAGTGAATACTGATACATTGTGGTGGACTCTTGTGAATACGGTAATGAACTTTTGGGTTCCATAAAAGGTGGGAGCTGCTCTTTCACATGAGCAAATATCAGCTTCTGAAGGAGCCAATTCATTGAGTTAGTTAGCTACTAACCTCAACAGTAACAGGTACTAAATCCAAGAGCGCTCTCTGAGCTGCTTCACAGTTTTCTCGCTTTCCGGTGATACGGATCACATCACACACACGTACAGGCTCATGTTCCTCCACATTACCATTTGGTTGTTGCCCCTCATCCTGGTGATTATGATACTCCTCTGAAATGTAACATTGCAGTCAAATAAAATTTGATCTCTCACAGTATCATTTTTTACCTCTATACATAATGTACCATAATATGTAGGAACTATGCTACCATCAAGACAACAAATACTTCAGTATTACATTTAGATCTTTATTTTACTGAAACATGTTTCGGTCATACATAACCATCATCAGGGAAGTATATGTATAGTTATTGAAATACCGATACGGATCCTTATCGGTGCAACGCATTGTATTCAAAATTAACATAAAAACTTTGCCTCAGATTAGTGTATAGTTAAAATAGCAAATCCACGATTAAGAATAACAAAAATAATAAAAATAATAAAAGATAGAATAAAGGTGTAATATATATAAAATGCTGAAATATTACTAAAACATATTAAAAGTATGATAGATGTATACAAAAGGTATTGTGACATGTTGACCCCGACCTCCCCAGCGGCACGTAGCGCTCGCGTAATAANGTAATGTGGGCAGACGCCGAGTTATAACGTGGCCATCGCCGAAGATAGTTCCAAGCCTACGAGGGAGTGTGTTATCAACAGTTCTCAAGGCAGCATCTTGCGAGCAGAGTTGGAATCTAGCCAGCGGCGTGTGACGAGTGAAAGTGTGTAATTCAGGGAGACTTGTATAGCTCCCGCGTTATTAATACATGAAGACTATTGAAGATAGTGTGAAGAGGTTTGGTTGTAGGGTTTGTAAAGTGTGAAACCCCGCAACTGGGTGATAAGTAATTGTAGCCGTTACTTGTAGATTGTTAAATAAACCAATTAACCATCTCTACGGCGTCTTCAGTAACGAAACACGTTACAGTATTAACACATACATGTAGCGTTAGGGATCTGTATTCCAACTAAAATTTATTTTAGGGGGGGGGGTTCCTGCTACACTGTAGAAATGGGTGTGTATGTTGCATAGGTCTTGCTACAGAAATTCTACGTAATAAGCCCGGTATATGAGGCCCAAAGACAAGTTTCCAATGATGTACAAGTTTCGATGGTATGTGGGTATTTGGTATTCCCATGCTATGTATCCTGTATAAACTTGCAATGTGGCATATGTTTCTTGTCTGGGCATATACACGTTCAGTGTGTATGGTGTGTTCTACACTGTACGGTGGTTTGACGTAGAAACATAAGCCACATATATTTAGCTTTCTCCATTTCTACTTTCACTTTCCCACAGTTTTCTGCTCGTTAAGAGTTTTACTGCAAGCAGATCATCATATTACACTTTATGATTTTTTCATAATATTCAGGCAATGGCATATTTTCCTTAAAGTACTATAAGGTATTAGGAAAGGTGCCCATTCTTTTCTCAAAGTCTTTCTTAAAACAAACTGTACTGAAATAATGGAACTATTTACTTATTTGGGCAATCTAATGAGTAACATTCCTGTTGACCTAAAAATGTTACTATAATTTTGTGGATATATTACACACCTACTATTCAATGAAAATTTATCAAAGTTCCAGCAAACTGTACTGAAATAAAGAATTGCTTCCTTATTAGGACAATGTTTTGAATATACAGGATGATTTTAAATTATTGTCAGGATTTCTGTTTATAGGCCACAAAAATTCCAAAAATAATTTAGAAACACCCTGTATATTCCTGCTGATCACATTCTGCTTATTTACCATGACAACTGTATTGGCTGATTTTGTATTACTTACAAGATGGCAGTGGGAAAACATACATTTGAGGGACATAAATATGTTATACTGTACCAACGATCCATACCTTGGGCATCACGGTCAGGGAACTTAATGTTCACACAAAACTCATATGTGATTCCCTGCACCTTGCATCCTTTCGCACCCATGACAGTACGGTGATGCTTCTGAGGAATTATGCACTCTATAGTGACCATGGATTCCTGAAAATCAAATTTGCTTACAGAACAAGATAGCAAAATTTTAATTTTATGAAGTATTTCTCATTTTATAACTACACTCAAATCTCGATTATCCGGAATAATGGTGGGGATGGAAATCACAATTAATCGAAAACCCCATTAACCTTTAAGAGCCAAGCGACTCCATATGGCGTCATGAAAATAAAGTCAAGGGGACGAATGACGCCATATGTCGTCGCGCATTCCACACGTGCGGCCGGCTTTTTAAAATCTAATTTTAAGTTATAAATTCTTTTTCTACTTACATGATTTTAGGCCACCAGCTTTATAAGTTGTCTCTGTTCCCACCTGCGTTGTCTAACGGAATGTTGGCTTCTNACAGTGTCCATACTAGCTGTGAGTGTGAGGCCTAGGGTAGGCCACACACTGGCATGTGTCAAGACATGTAACAGTCAAGATACAATGTCTGCGACATGTCGCTAAGAAAGGAGCACAGTTGAAACAAATGAGATTAAATAAATAAACACATACTTGATTATATATACAGGAGGGGTCCAGGAGGGGGCCTGAGGAATTGTGGTTTGATTCCAAGCAGGTCTCAAAAAATATTTCTTTTCCACAGTGTCCATACTAGCTGTGAGTGTGAGGCCTAGGGTAGGCCACACACTGGCATGTGTCAAGACATGTAACAGTCAAGATACAATGTCTGCGACATGTCGCTAAGAAAGGAGCACAGTTGAAACAAATGAGATTAAATAAATAAACACATACTTGATTATATATACAGGAGGGGTCCAGGAGGGGGCCTGAGGAATTGTGGTTTGATTCCAAGCAGGTCTCAAAAAATATTTCTTTTCCACAGTGTCCATACTAGCTGTGAGTGTGAGGCCTAGGGTAGGCCACACACTGGCATGTGTCAAGACATGTAACAGTCAAGATACAATGTCTGCGACATGTCGCTAAGAAAGGAGCACAGTTGAAACAAATGAGATTAAATAAATAAACACATACTTGATTATATATACAGGAGGGGTCCAGGAGGGGGCCTGAGGAATTGTGGTTTGATTCCAAGCAGGTCTCAAAAAATATTTCTTTTCCACAGTGTCCATACTAGCTGTGAGTGTGAGGCCTAGGGTAGGCCACACACTAGCATGTGTCAAGACATGTAAGAGTCAAGACACAATGTCTGCAACATGACGCTAAGAAAGGAGCACAGTTGAAATGAATGATATTAAATAAATAAACACATACTTGATATATATACAGGAGGGGTCCAAAAAAATGTACTCACTCTTTGACAGTCAATATCTTTGGAACAAAATGACATGTAGCTACAATTCTTGCGTGGTAGTGTAGTGTAATGTTTTCTCAACAGACAGTGAAGGTCACGAGTCACGTGAATGTCATGCCGCATGCGTGCTGTGAGCAGAAGACAGCAGCAACAATGGCTCAAAGGTTGTTCTTTGAGCAATGAAAGGCTGTATTGAAGTGGTACTGGAAGTACGAAAACATTAAAGAGGTACAACGACAATGGCAGAATGAGTTTGGAACTCAGCCACCAACATGTCGAACAACTGCCCGTATTTGGGATAAATTTGATGCCAACGGTACTGTTCATGATGTGCATAAGCAAAGATCGGGACGACCACAGATAGTAACAAGGCCAGCTCTCGATATGCTTCAGACATCGATTTTCCTTGCCATTTGAGAGCTGTTTGGACATGAGAGATTTTACCTACAAGATGGTGCTCCACCTCACTACCATCGAGATGTCAGGGTATACTTGGATGACACTCTACCTGGATGATGGATAGGTCGAAGAGGTGCTACTGAGTGCTTACCACAGTCTCCTGACCTAACACCTCCTGACTTCTACCTAAGGGGAACCTTGAAGGATGAAGTTTATCAACAAAAGCCAGCTACACTGAACGCACTACAAGAAATCATCGAAGTGTCGTGTGCAGCCATCACACCAGACACACTGACACTCGTAGTTCGCTCAGCAGTTTGGCAGCATTGACGCTGTTTAGCTGCTGATGGGGGTCACTTCAAACACATACAATGACTCCCTCTCTGCGCAAGAATTGTAACTACTTGTCATTTTGTTCCAAAGATATTGAATATCAAAGGGTGAGTACATTTTTTTAGACATCTCTGTACATGTATGTATGTATGTATGTATATATATATATATTGTCAATTGGTTGAGTAACTACAGATGGGTTTTGGATTGGTAACTGGATTTACTGAACTCTTACAGAATGTAACCACAAATAACTACAGTGGCAATGCCAATTCACAAATTCTGCAGTTCACTACAGCATCTATGAAGTCTTCTCAGTCCATTGTACTTTAGCTGGTTGTTGCCTGGTAATGTCTTCAAATGCCATAGCTTCCTCAGCTTCCATGTTCACATCTTTTCAGGCTGGAGACTGTCTCACAACTAACTAAACTCTAGACTTGTCCTGCTTATAACACCTCAGCACAGACCACACAGAAAACACCAGTGTCAACAAGTCTTCTATTGTTGCATCACATGGACCACGCAAAGAACACCACTTCCCAGTTACTCCACTACTGTGTCTTACAAATCTGTGGCGTAGCAACAGGCATGTTTGCAGAGCTGTTCCCTAGCAAAAGCTCTCCCTGTTGGCTTCACAGTTCTGGCTTTGAGCAAATATACCACAATATATATGCAAAAAACATGTCTCCTGCCTCAACTCTTGCTTTAAAGGTTGGAAATTGCATGAGAAAATCACATTCCCAATATCAAATATATATGAATCAAATGAGTGAGAAGTAGTAGTACAGTGGATCCCCACATGATGCTCCTCAAATTAGGGTTTTCCCTCACTTAATATTCAATTTCAATGATCTAAGTGTTAAATTTCCTCAGTTTACTGTTAGATCCACTGTTTCCGAAAGATCTTACATGGGAGTTTCACTCTACTAAGGATTCAAGTAGAATGTGCTGTCTGTCAGAACTGCATGTTTATATACATTTCAAACTCCACACACAAACACACTGTGCCAGTCTAAATACTACCAAACATGTTGAATGGCAAAATATAAGAAGTCACTTTCCAAAACATGTCTTCATCATGGGCATGTAAGCACTGACTTACCAGATCAGCAACAATTTCTTGAATCCTCCGTTTTGCCATTTCAATGCAATCCTTCGCTCCCTTCAGGACCACCCTATCACTCTGCACCCCTGGGCGGGGGAAAGAGATCATTACATGATCGCACTCATCTGAGATGCGATTAAGGACTTCTCCACGTCGAGCCACAAAATGTCGGTGATGTCTTGGCTCCACACTCATGTCACTTTCAACAATATTGTCCTGGGGAGAAAGAAAGTCATGTCACATTCTTTGGAAAATGAACTGCTAATATATATACAGTATACATTTTCTTTTGAACCATGAAAAACTCAGGCCCTCTTTAGATGTCATTGTAACATCTGGTGACTCATCCCTTCTACTCTCTCCCTTATTTGTCCTACCTGAAGTATTCAGTTATTCAGTATTGAGGGGGTGGGTTACCCCATGCACCGCGACCAGTTTGATCTATTGTGTGTCCGCCTTTGAATTTCTACCGTCTCCATACCCTACCGGTACTGGTGCTCACTACTGTTCCCTTTCTGCCAGCGAGGTTTCGGCCTTCTACTGGCAGTGGTATCTGACAGTTAGTCCCTTTCTGTCAGTGAGGTCGGCCCTCCTCTGGCAGCGGTACCTAATACTTCGCCATCTACCGGAGGCATTGGAAACTACTCGGGCGGGAAACATTTTGCCTAATTTAGCTCAGAGGTCTCCTAGAGACATGAGGTTATTTTACGTATCGTAAATCTACAACACGGGACCCACGGCTTAAAGTCCCTCCCGGAGGACTTGTTCCCTGAATTTTTCTGCCCTTAAAAATTCCACGACCTCCACCGGGTTTGAACCCGCGTACCTTGAGTCATGAGGTGGGAACATCACCCCTAGACTACGGAGGCCGCTACCTGAAGTATACAACATGATGTTCATTCATTCTGGTTTAGGGCTGAACAGTATGTGGCTTGAGAGGAGCTGGTTGTCACTCTCCAGAGTTGGAAGAAGTGCTTGATCAGCATGTGAGTCAACATGGTGGAATTATATTTTAGTTCTGGGTTTTAAATATAGGTTTGGTTAATCATCATCCACAACCAGAGGGTGACTTCAGTTCTGTTGATTTACTTGACCAGTCTCACTTGTTATATTTATACTATTTCATTATCTGTAACCACCTACTACGTAACAATAGATTGCAATGGTCATCTGCAGTCAGGAAGCTGTGGCTGTATGCACACAGATACAAATCCATTACATTTGGTCAGCAAGAGTGTATTCTTACTCCCACACAAACAGGGCATGCTCTGATGTAATACAAGAGATAAGGGTCAGGGGAGCAGTGTGATAAGAAGCATCTGGGTGAATCCACTACTGCTTTTAAGGTCTACGTGGTCAGCAAAAATGTTTCACTTCAAACTCTTATGCATGTAGATATAATTTCACATCATAACAACCTATTCCTCCAAACACAATAGTTATACTGCTTTCATAAGCCTCATTCCTCCTGGTGATTTTCTATCAAATTTGGCATGGCTATCTAGTGTGCCCCACATGTCCTACAATCTTAGCTCAACTTTAGTTCCATAATTTTTCTTTTTACATGCTGGTTTATCATGAAAATTCCCAATCAGCATTATGAACCCAGTTTAATGTGCATTTCATACCTGGCTCGTCTAAATCTTCCTCATATAAACATAATAGCCTTAAGGATGGAGCAATGTGGTGTATAAACCTGCTGCTAATCAGTGACCCTGTAAAGAGCAATTATTTCTGGGCAACAGCTTGGTGAACGCACTCTCATTGCTAGGCAGCAGATTCTTGATAATGCAACAGTGTGACTACAAGAATGGAAGAGTTGTGTTTTCTATATGGTCCATGCTGAGATGGTATAACTGAGAGGTCTGGAGCTTAGTTTGTTCAGTTCAGTTCAGTAAACAGCTTTGTACAGGAATCTGTGAAAAGAGGGCTTGAGCCAGGGGCAGAGGTATAGCCACTACTGGAGCAATTACCAGGAAATGGTCGCTGTTTACACAGTCACCTCTTAGCAACAAGGCTATATGTCATAACAGCAAGAAGTTCAAATTTGAACCTTATCATATGCACAGACAGTGAGGTATATTTTTACATTTGTATATCAACTTAAAATTACAAAAACTCTACATTTCAAAACATATTTACATCTGTAATATTCATCATGTCCTTGAAAAGCAGACTGGAATGTAAAACAACACGAATTTACAAAAAGTGTTCTGCTCTTAATTTTATCATCAATGTAAAGTTCTCATTCCCATACATAAAGGAATGTCCTCCTAAAACTTACAATTTCTTTTATAATTGCCTCAAGCTCTGCTTTGGCACGTTCAACTGCCTCCTGTTTCCCAATGATAGTTATGGCCTCCTTATCTTCATCCTTGTCAGTAGGGAACACAATGCGAGCACCAGTATTCTCACGAATCTTCTTAATGTTGGCGCCATTCTTCCCAATCAGGTATTTGTGATGTTGCTGTTTAGCACGAACTTCGGCTGAGTAACTTGATAGCTGTCGTTCTGTTGCGAGTTCCTGGAGCTGCTGAACTGCCTTCATTACATCCTCCTTCGGACCACGAATTGTCACCTTTGTGTACAAGAACAAACAAAAGGAGATTACGTACTACAAGAAAGAATGAATGTGCAGATATTTCTAGTTGGCACTGTTTGGTCCCATGTTCAATTCACAACTTTCCCTCTTTAGCAACTAATGACAGAGGATTTTCAACTCACCTTGTCACTGTGACTTTCTGCTTGAGGAAATTTAATGGCAACACCTCCACAATCCTCCATGATGGTATGTATCAGTTTTCCACCAGCACCAATCATGGAGTTGTAAAACTTTGGTGGGATCTCTATTTCCTCTGTTACTATGTTATCCTGAAATGCAGAGGAAACGCATGTTTTCCAAATGGCTAGTACTCGGCAAGGGTGGGGTTGATGACCTTGGGCGTGAGGCAGCAGACAGCACAGACAATGCAATTTCAGTAGCCATGGTGCGTTGGAATATAGGGCATCATGTGTTTGTTGTCGAACAGTCTTTTAGAAACAGTGATTCCATAGTTACTGTCTTTCCCGTTGAAAGTTCAATGTTGAGTGTCGAGGAACAATTGCAGATCATAACACTATGCTTCAATGGGCTGAAGCATTTAGAATTGCTGGATCTGTTATGAAGAGGAAACCACCTGGCCTTGTTCAGTACTGACCCCAGAAAATGTTCACACAGTGAGAAGGGCGGTTCTTGCTTTGGGTATGCCACATCGTTCGCTACATTGCATCTTACAAGAAGAGTTACAATTTCATCCCTACAAAACAACGATTGTCCAGCAGCTGGCCGAAGGGAATTTTGCACAACGCAGAGAGTTTTCTGAGGAAATGCTAGCCATTCTCACTGAGGATGGTAATGTGGTAATGATGGGTGAGAAAGCACATTTCTATCTGAATGGATTTGTGAAGAAATAAAACTGCCAGTTCTGGTCGGTGGAGAACCCATGAGAGGTACACCAAATACCTCTCCACAGCTCAAAAGTGACAGTATGGTGCGGTGCTTCTAAGTTAGGGATCGTTGGTCCTTAGTTTTTTTGAAGAGGGGGAGACTGCAGTTGCAGTTGCTACATCAACATGTTAAACAACTTCCTGCATCCAGAACTCCTAAGGCATTGCATAAACATGAGACAAATGTGGTTCCAACAGGTGGTGCCACAGCTCACATGGCAAGAGCATCAATGGAAGTTGTTCAATGCATGTTCACCCAACATGTGATATCCCGTTTCAGTGATGTTTCTTGGCCCACGCTCCCCTGATCTATCAGTTTGTGACTTTTTTGTGGGATACCTCAAGGCAGGAGTGTACACGAACAGACCACGAACGATCCAAGAGCTGAAACTCTCCATTCGTCACGAAATCGCAGCTATGCCGGAAGACATGTTGGAGAATGCGATGCAAAATTTTGAGGAGACACTCCAAATGTGTGTCCAGCAAGAAGGACGTCATCTGACTGACATTATTTTCCGTATGTAAAGTAAGTTAAAAATGCATTAAAATGCTTTCTTTCTTGCGTAATTAAAAAGTTTTATCTTTAAAATCAACAAAGTTATTCTTATGTGAAAAACATGCTTTTCCTCTGCTCCACCCTGTATATAGTTAGGTTCAAATAAGACACTGACACTGATGTGCCTTAAAGCTCACTAACATGCTACATTCTTCTCATGCAAAGTACTCTTCTGCTACTTTACAAAATACCTAATTTGAGTCATTCACTACATTTCCATAAAATGAGTATCTCATAAAAAAAGGGAATGGGTGGCAGTTCATTTTCCTGCATGTTGCACTGCCAAAATCACTCAATGGATTCTGACAACAGAGTGAAAGCCCATTATAATGAGAATTCCTTTATAGTGTGAGAACTGATGCTACAACAAATACTCATTATGGGCAGTTTAGGAATTAAGCTATACATATTCGCAGTAACCTCACTGTAACCAATGAATGCAACATCTTGTAAGCATGAGGTTATAAAACTGACACCAGTTCCAAAAGGTGGACAGGTCACAGGACAGCAGAAGAATCTGGGGTTTCTAATTTTATTGTAAATAAAGCTCATCTATCAAGAAGGAACTTCCAGTGTAGAGATGGTTAGAATACCTGAACCACAGCCCTGCAAGTCACCGGTTGAGGGTTGGATGTAAGGCTCATGACCTTGCTCTGTAGAAAAATTACTGTTACAAAATCCAAAGAAGTGAAACCGGATACTCTACTTCATGACAAATCTAGTAACACGTTCTCAGGAAGACAATGACTTAAAGAAGACTTTTGCTGCTGCTGCTGTTGCTGCTGATGATGGAGGAGGAAGAGAGGAAGAAGAGGAAAAGGAGGAGGAGCAGAAGATGAAGAAGGAACAAAGCATTGTAGCTGAACCATGAAAGAATCTAAGAAAAAAAAAGCTTTCCGAAGAAACTGTACAGAAAGTAAAGGCATCACATGAAGATGTGTGCAAGAAAGAAAGAATATATATCACTCAAAACTACAAACTCAAAAACAGTTCATAAACAGAAGACTAATGCATGTTAACATCAAACAATTACACTAGAAATATAAAAAACACCACCTAAGGAATAATAAAAAAATCTTATTGTCATGTATATAACCTTATCACATGTACAGTTTTTATTCTGATTTTTATTCCTATTTTATTGCAATTTTAACCAAAGTCTAGTCTAAGTTTTGTCCAGTTTGTGAATTCAATAGACACTAACTTGTACGAACCATTTCTAAAAATGGGAATGTTAACGTTGCAGTTAGGTAATAATGTGTGAGAAATTTGCAGCACCTAAAGATGACCCATGTGAGGTCAAAATATGTAGTGCATGCTATATAAATAAACAAATAGTTAAATAATAAAGCATTGTTGAGTTGACGGTAAAAATTATATATATTCATTGTATATACTCAACACGATGCAATCTTTAAAAACAGGTTTTCAGTTAATGTGTGGTGTGGAGCAATAACCTGATTGGAAAACATGTTATCAAGGGATGTTTAGCAGCTGTGTATTACAGGAATTTTAGAGAAAATAAATTACTGCTACATTTAGAGGATATTCCTCTTGCAACACAAAGACAAACATGGGTACAATATGAGAGAGAACCTTGAACATGTGTTGTAAGTCTTGCAACTTAATTGTTAAGTATTTAAAATGATAATAAGTACAGCGCAACCTTGCTTATCGAGCATAATTCGTTCCAGAATCTTACTCATAATGCGAAACACTCATTAAGCGAAACAATTTTTCCCATACAAATTAATGTAAAATACGATAATGTGTTCCATGCTGAAAAAAATACTCAAAAAATTTTATGTGTAACGTTTATTCAAAGAAAATTATATATACATTGTTAAGGAGCGTGAATCATCTTCATCTTTTCTTCTATGCGGAATGAACCAACCTGGAATGCGAATTCGATTTGCAGAAAACAAACAAAAAAAAATCAAAATAAGTAGTTTAGTATTTATGATACATATCTAATTCTTTTTTACTAGAAAACTGTCTAGAGACATTTGTTTTTGCTGACGCTTCAAAATTTGGTGAAAATGCGACACAGCATTAACATTAAATAAATTTGTAGTGTGCATAGCCACTGCCTTATTAGGGTGATGCTTCTCAATGTACGATGAAAAAGTTTCCCATGCTTTCAGCATTTCTCTTATTGCGCCAGAAGATTGTTGCTTTGCTGTTACCTCCTCCTCCTCTGACAAACTCTCCTCCACAACTTCTTGCTGTGAAACACAATGCAACTTCAAATCATGCAAATCGTTGATGTAGACCGATTGTATGTGCGTGCTAGATCAGCCACGCTCACACATCATTCTCGCTTTTCAATGATTTTTCGTTTCATTCCTACAGTTATTTTTATTCTCTTATGGCTGTCTTTTTGTGGCTTTTCCTTCGGGGACATTTTTGCAAGGGTTATTAAACTTTGCAAAAAAAATCACAAATATGTCTGAACACAAGTTTGGAAAAATGTGTGATCACAAGCGACACTAAGATGCTAGCGGAACGAGTGCTAAACACAGACTGATGTAGCAAGGGCAAGGGACTTCCCCTCTCATCACCCGTTATGTGAAATGTTGCTCGTTAAGCGAGTCATTTATTTACAATCTGTTTTGCTTGTTATGCGAATTACTCGTTATGAGAGGTGCTCGTTAAGCTAGGTTCCACTGTATAAGAACACATTTTTACTCAGTGTTACAATAAGCTAGTGCTGAACACAGTGACAGTGTTGAACTGACCTACAGTCCATGAGACATTTTCTCCAAATGACCCGTGAAACATGCTCCTGACCTTTGACCATTACATCATGAAGCACCTTAAATTCATTAACCCACCAAAACCTTACAATATTAGAAATACCAATACATATTTTTCACCAGAATTCAAGACAGACCCGTTTTTTTAACTCTAAAAACAAAGGAAAAACTCCCATCTTATACGGCCCTAAAATCTGTGGATAGGAAATGCATTTCATTTCTTTTCTAAATTTTGTCTAAAAGGAGAATAAATTATGCAAGTAAATATGGTATGTCTCAGCTTTAAAATATTTAGAAACATTGCTCACTAGTTCATTCTGTATCTTCAGAATCCTCTCCTTGGCTTCCTGAACATTCTCCTTCTTCCCGGTTATTGTGATGACATCACTCTTCTCACCTTCTGCTGGCAAGTCAATCTTGGTCTGAGTTTCATCACGAATCTGCATGATGTGAGTTGCAGCATTATTCACATTTCTGATTTAAATGAACTGAGTGAGCATACAACAGTAACTGAAAGCGGAAACTATATGCAACAAACATTTTTTAAAATTTACTTGCAACGTTACAGGGATATGAGAAATGAACTGAACAATTTAAAATAGTTACTGTGCGTAAATTTAATGAGAAACAAAAACGAGCATCATATTGTTGAAAGCAGACACTTAAACAGTTCTTTTATCAACCTAGGAATTTATTAAGTTCCTGAAATCACCAAGACACGCACTCAGAGCATGACAGAGTCAAAATGGTGAGCTATGTGGAAAAGGCTCCATATCTTATATGGTTTGTGGAGACAAAGTCAGCCACATATGTACACTGTTTATTTACAAATATGTTTCATTACTATCCATAGGGAAGAAATTGGATTCATGAGTGGCATAAACAATTTCCATAAAGAGGGTGTTTCTGCACAGGCAACAGTCCTAGCAGGATGAGTATCCAGAATTGTTTACTTGTGTATGATCCAGAACTGGCTCAAGCTTCAGATTAATGAAAAATAAAAAGAAAACTTGATATTTCAACCAGATGGAGGACTACCCCATTATCACAATGCACTAACAAGATTTCTAAATGAGAAGCTGCCAAGATGGATTGATTATGGATGTTCAAATGCCTGGCCTCACAGGTCACACGTTTTGACACCTGTGGACTTTTTCTTATTGGACTCTTACAAGACAATATTTATGTCCTGCTTTGTCAACAAATCTTCAGGAACTCAAAAACAGGATTCATCTAGATGTGGAGTCCTCTGGCATATGTACCTTACGCAAAGCATGAAACATCAGAACATGAGTAAGGTTACATGAGGGGGGTTAATGCTTGTAGCTTGTAGGATGATAAAAATCTTCTTGAGCTACTGTAATATTTGTTTTTGTGTCTCATTTAGTTTTCTCACAATCAGTTTTTGAAAGTATTCAATTCTTTGTGATATCTCTGTACAGGGTGTTTCAAAAAGAGCTTTACAACTTTGAAAGCTTATATAAATTTATACAGAGGACATACACAACATTTTGAACTGTCATAATGTAACAAAACACACCGAGTTTCATGCATGTGGTACTGTAGTACCCAATACCGTCACCGCAAGCACTCCCACAGTTTAAATCAAGATGGCTACTTTCACAGGTGCAGAGCAAGCTCGTTGTGTGTTTTAGTTTGAAGAAACAAAGTCTGTTACACAATTTCAAAGGAAATTTCGCACTCAGTATCACAAGGAACCTCCCAATAGGCCTACAATTTACTCCTGGCACAAGAATTTTGTTCAGACCGCATGTTCTGTGGGCCATGCCAAGCCACCTGGTCGGCCATGTGTTTCTGATGCTACAGTAGAACAGATTAGGGACAGCCTCCTTCGAAGTCCATGAAAGTCAATGCGACGTGCATCTCGGGAAACTGGTATTCCAAATGTAACTGTGTGGAAAGTGTTACAAATACGTTTACACTTAAAAGCATACAAACTATCCACCATTCAACACCTTACAGATGCAAATAAGGTGGTTCATAAAGAATGCTGTATGCAAATGTTTCATCAGATACAAGCCAATGAGAAGTTTCTGGACTCCGTAATTTTCAGTGATGAGAGCACGTTTCATGTCAGTGGTAAGGTCAATAACCACAATTGCAGGATCTGGGGCAGCGAAAATCCACAGGTCTCCCTGGAACATGTTCGTGATATCCCAAAGGTGAACGTGTTTTGCGCCCTCAGCAAGGAAAGAGTGTACGGCCCCTTCTTCTTCTTCATGGAGACGACCATTACGGGTCTCATACATCTGGACACACTCCAAGAGTTCCTCATTCCAGTTATATAAAAATGACCAAGAAGGACGCATTCACTTCCAGCAAGATGTCGCACCCCCTCATTACCTTGGACAAGTGCGCGAGTACCTCAACACCCATTTCCCAGGTCGGTGGATTGGTAGAGTGGCGCCGATAGCATGGAAACCTCGTTCCCCAGATCTTACTCCCCTGGATTTTTTCTTATGGGGATTCATTAAAGATCGAGTGTTCGTACCACCTTTGCCTGCAAATGTTGTTGAGCTCCAAACGCGAATTACTGCCTCAGTTGCAGAAGTGATGCCAGAGATGCTACGTAGCGTGTGGCAAGAGACTGACTACAGGTGGGACGTCTGCTGCATTACCAATGAAAGTCACATTGATCCATAATTATCCAAGGTAAAACTTGGTGTGTTTTGCTACATTATGACAGTTCAAAATGTTGTGTATGTCTGCTGTATAAATTTATATAAGCTTTCAAAGTTGTAAAGCTCTTTTTGAAACAGCCTGTATTACAGTATATCATCTGCTACAAAATGAAACACAGTGAAGCAGTTCTTGCTCTGAGGACATGATATCTTAAGATGTTTTCATGTTTCAGGAAGAGAATAACTGACCTGAGCTCTACCTTCAATTGCTAAGACAGCAAGAAGTTAAGAAATTAAGAGTCTGTCAATGAAGGCATAACCAGGCAGATGACATATATGAGATAACAATACAACAAACTGCGTAAGACAGCAGACCTCACCTTACCATTAATTAGACATTTAAGGACCCAGAAACTTTTCTGAACAATATGAACTTAATGTTGCATCACATATCTCCTAAACAAATTAATGGATTTAAAAGAAATCTGATAGCTATTAATATAACTGGTTCTTATATCTGACCAACTTGAGAAAAAACATCACAAAGAGCTGAATACTGGAAAGTGTTGTATACAGTTCCAGATTTGTTTATGAAGCATAAAAGTGTAATATTGCACACCTCATTTAGGTGGAATATGTACAAACTTCAATACTGGAGGTCACACAATCATACTCACCTTGCGAATGTTGGCACCACCTTTACCAATAACAAACTTGTGGAACTGTTTGTAGATTGGTACTTCAGTCTCATAGCTGCTCTCATTTAATTCTTTCACAATTTTCATCAAATGCTTATAACACTTGTCCACATCTTCTTTAGGACCGCGGATCTTCACAACATCGCGATTTTCCCCTGCAAAGAAGTGCACATTAGACCAGACATGAAATAATTCATACAATACTTCTTATGTATGAGAAAAATTACAATATAATGAAGTTCCATTATTACCAGAGTTTATCCCTGTACAAACTTATATAAAGCTATGTGTGAATATTTCCAAAAAAGTTTTCTGAGACAATTTGTAACTACATCATCATAACAACTATGTTTATGACCTGTTACATTATCTAAGAACCAAGGATATACATAGGGCGTTCCGTTATAACTCTTCCTATTTTTTTTGGTTTATATATGTAACGTCTGAGCTGGGTGTTGGTGGTGTTGTAGTACAGGTTGAACCTTCCCGCCAATGTACTGTTAGTTTGGTTGTCATGCAACAGATAGTGACAGCAGAGCAGTCTACCAAAATGGTGTCTGACGTCTGACATAGAAGTGCGTACGAAACGGAGATGTGTTACTGAATTTCTCACTGCCGAACAAATTGCACCCACTGACATCCATTGACGCTTGCTAAAGGTGTACGGAGACGATACAATGGATGTTAGCACAGTGAGGTAGTGGGTAGTGCGTTTCAACAGTGGCGAAAGTGATGTGCACGACAAGCCATTCCCCGGGCGTCCCTGCTCAGATGCCACTCCTCACAATGAACAGCGCCTCAATCAGTTCATCCATATAGATCTGTGGATAACGACCAGGGAACTGTGTGCACAGCTTAATATCGGCAGTAATGCATTGGAAACGATGTTGGAGAAGCTGGATTATCGCAAAGTTTGTTCCAGGTGGGTCCTGCGGATGCTTACACAGGACCACAAAACTCATCGAATGGAAGTCTGTCAGGACCTGTTGCACCAGTTTGAGGCTGAAGGTGACAAGTTTCTGGACAGCATCGTCACCATAGATAACACGTGGTGTCACCACGAGCCGGAATCCAAAAGACAGTCCATGGAGTAGTGACATCCGGATTCCACAAGAAAAAAGAAGTTCAAGACACAGGCACTGGCAGGGAAAGTGATGTGCACGGTCTTTTGCGATAGGCGGGGTGTGATTTTCTTGGATTTCCTGGAGCCTGGTGAGATTGTCAATTCTGAACGCTACAAGACGACACTGACTAAGCTGAAAGCCCGCATTTCCCGGATCAGGCCAGAGAAGCAGACAACCTTTCGCTTGCAACACGCTAACGCTAGATCCCATACCAGTTTGGCGACCACCGCGCACATTGCAAAGTTTGGCTGGACTGTCCTACCACATCCA